TCCTTTTCTTTCCCTCCCTCCCAGCTTGCTCTCAGAGCCTCTCTCAGAATGAGAAAACAAAACAGACTGGGCCTGAAGAGGCCTGGATGGAAGGGAGGGCAGGCAGAGAGTGGAGTGGCCCCCATTGGCCCCACCCCCTCCCAGCCAGGAAAGAGGAAGAGGAAGACAGGGAGGCAGGGAGGCCTGGAGTACTGCTGAGAAAAACAAAGAGAGACAGAGACTGGGTGAGATCAGACTGGCAGGGGAGGGCAATAAGGGGTGATCAGATGGGCATAGGCAGTTGGGGGTAAGGTCAGGCCAGCAGGGGAGAGCAGTTGGGGGCAACCAGGCCAGCAGGGGAGGGTAGTTGGGGGTGAGATCAGGCTGGCAGAGGAGAGCAGTTAGAGGCGATCAGGCAGGCAGGCAGAGAGGTTAGGGGCAATCAGGCAGGCAGACAGAGAGGTTAGGGGCAATCAGGCAGGCAGGCAGAGGAGCAGTTAGGGGGCAGAAGCAGTTAGGGGCGATCAGGCAGACAGGCAGGTGAGTGGTCCCAGATTGCAAGAGGGATGTCTGACTGCCGGTTTAGGCCCGATCCCTGTGGGGTCCCCGATTGGAGAGGATGCAGGCTGGGCTAAGGAAACCTCCTCCCCCCACCCCCACCCCCCCCCCAGTGCACAAATTTTGTGCACTGGGCCACTAGTTTAAGAATAATGGTAGGCCTATTCCAATGAAATACAAAAGCAAAATACAATTGATTTTTCCTATGAATTAACTCTCCTCTATTAAATTTACGATAAAAAAGTGTTAAGAAATAATGTCCTTTGAAACATACATAAGAGCAAACATCCATTAGAATTTATGGCCAAGCTGGTAACAAACATTATAACTATTCTTCAGTAATTAAGCAATTACTCTATTTGTAGAGTCGTTCATTCATTCGTTTATTAATTCACTCAGCAAACAGTTTTGATATTGATAGTGATTGGGAGAGAGATTAAATCAAGATACTGTGATACTAAAAAAAAGCCATCTACCCATTTTCAGGCATGCTGGGAAGATTTGAAGGTGATTTGACAGTAACTTAGCAATGTAGACAATTAACTCTGGAAAGAAACGGGAGCATATATCAAAAGAGCCATTGTTACCTCTTTACACATTCCAATCACCCGATATTTACCTTTGCAAATTGATAAGACTGTATCTCAAATTAGATCCAACTTGAATTTCTGGTTGTGTTCTGTATCTGGTTTTTTTAAAAAAAGAATCTCTATTTGAATATACCTCCTACAGGAATTTAAATACAAATTACTTAATGCCACTCATTAAGTAAGAAGTTAGGCAGGTAAACCGGCTTGGAGGAATGGATGGTATAAATTTCCTCCCACTATGGTATGGTCCTTCCTCTTCATTCTCACAAAGCTTTGACCTTTTCCACCGGTAGTGTCCTGATCCTGCCACTGCGGGTCGTGGATGTCATCACAAGCAATAACCAGCAATCTTGGTAATAACTTCTCTTTAAATGTAAGTGATCTTTCTTTTGAGCATTTTGGTTTGGGGTGGATAAATATTCATTTAGCTTATTATGGCCTCTTTTCAAAAACCTTCAATAGTTCACTCATTTATGATGGATAGAATTTTTTATTTGCCATTTCTCTCTTCTACTTTTTTTTTTATCATAGCTGTACTGTATTTGAAGATGGGTCTAGTGTAGTGGAGCTGAAACTGAGATGAATTGATACCAACACTAAAGAGAACATGCTCCACTCTAATAGGTAATCTCAAGAACAACACTGTTTCTTATAGATATCATGAACATTGACAACTTTGCTTTATGGGTAAAGAAATAAAAATTTGAAATATAATTTAAAATGCCTTTCCTAATGCCAAAATGTGCTAATCAATCATTTTACACACACACACACACACACACACACACACAGCTTTATTGCATCCTGTTTGAATTTTAGTATGCATAAAGAACTACATAAATTATCTAGTAAGCTGGCAAAAAATTCTGTGGTCCTGTTCATACAAAGTCTTTTCCTCCAAGGCAAAATTTGTCTCAATTTGTAAGGTTTCAAATTATTCCTTTTTCCAAATACTTAGTTTCTATTTTGTTGGTTATGCCTAATATTTTTTAAACTTTGAGTTGTGTGCAAGGGAAAATTATGCCCCCTTTGAAACAGTCATGTGTTACTAAAAGGCAGTGTTTGGGGGAAAAGAAGCAAACAAACAGACAAAAAGATGATACTTAATAGCAAATATATTTTGAATTACAACATTGGAAGAAAAATAAGAACTATTTTCACAGATAGATACCAAGGTCAAGGATCTATGTTCAACCATGTATTTTCAGCCATCTTGATAATTAACTGGGCAGCCATCATTAAACAATTTGCTGAGGCTGTGATATGATCCTTGGGTCAAGATATCAGAAATACCACAGGACTTCTGAAAGGCTGCCCCTTAATCTACATTTTGGCCAACATTCCTTTCCAGCTCTAATACCATCTAGCTTTATGAAAAACAAACAACAACAAAGCAAAAAACAAACAAAAAACAGGGGAAATTTGAGCTTCTAGAGCAGTGGTTCTCAACCTTCCTAATGCCTCGACCCTTTAATACAGTTCCTCATGTTGTGGTGACCCCCAACCATAAAATTATTTTCATTGCTATTTCATAACTGTCATTTTGCTACTGTTATGAATCATAATGTAAATATCTGATATGCAGGATATATTTAGGCGACCCCTGTGAAAGGGTTGTTCGACCCCCAAAGGGGTTGCGACCCACAGGTTGAGAACCGTTGTTCTAGAGAGTAGGAGCCATCATTTGATATTTCACAGAACCAAGGAAGAAGTTTCAATGTGTTTCATTTTAAATCATTTCAATATATTAAATCATTACTAAAGTAGAAAACTTACATTGTAAGAAGAATGATGAAAACATTGTGGAAAAATTAGCTTTATTTATTTGATATGGCCTTGTATCTGTCAAATAAAAGAATTGGAAGAATTCTCCAGATTATTTAAATAATCCTCAGATAATCTTCAGAGTTGAGGAAGGAATATAAAGAGGCAATAGCATTGAAATTCTTCTGAGATTTAAGCTGATCTACAATTTGTAAAAACCTGAGCAGTTTAACCATATTCATGCTATTCCCACATTGAGTCATGGCAACAAATCAACATTAATAATAATAATAATAATAATAATGTGCTTCCTAGAACTCTCCAAATAGTCCATTGAAGTTTTGTTGGAAAGGGTTGTTTTAGAGTCATAACCCATGAGAGATTCCAGACAAGTCTACTCACTTCTACCATTGTACTGTCCACAATGGCAAAGCATGGTTAAGTCCCTCATCAAATACTGAGTATGGGCTGGTACATAATCTTTCCACTTAGTCCAGCAAACTGAGTGTTTCCTTTCACACCTTTCTCACACAGTGGAACAGATCTTAGGATTTGGACAAATATGAATAATATTTTTGTTTTTGAAAGTATTTGAGAATGAGTCCAAACTAATAAAATTGAAACTCCTGTATCATGCTTAGTAGCAATGTAAGCCTTCTTCCTGTTGGAAAATGAACAAAATGTAATGATTGTGTGTACTCTACAGGCATGCAAAGTGAAGTGAAAAATTAAATCACATACACCTCCATTATCTAGTATTTCAGGTGGGGCATAACGCTAAATTGTCTTTATTCTCCTCAGGTCTTCAATTCTACCTGTTTAAGGCAGAGTCTAAGTGGTTTGTAGATTAGCTCTCACAATGGTTGCTGCCAAGGTTGGCAACAGGTTGAATCCCTTTAGCAATATGAGTCTGTCTTCTCTGCCACACTGCTAGTTCCAAACTTTTCCTGGACTTGAGTTGGGAGTCAGGATGGCCTCACCTTGTCAGTTTAGGTACAATCAATCACATCCCTGCACACTAGATCAGTGATTTCAACTTTGTCATCTCATGGCACACATAAACTAATTACTAAAATTCTGCGACACACCCAAAAATATATTTTTTGCCAATCTGACAAAAAATAAGTGTAATTTTTATTTATTCACAGAAAAGTATTAGTAATAGTCTGCCCTTTCTGCTTCAGAGTGACTAAAAAATCAGGTGCCTATACATGTATACCATAAGGATTTCTAGTACCAAGAATTAACCAATCAGAGACAACCTTATTATGTGATGTGACCAATAAGATGCAACTCTGTTATATGACCCAAGTATTTATGGTTCAAGATAGGGCATTCATACCAGATGGCTATTGTGTTGGCTGTTGTTTTTTTTTAATTTGACAATGTATGAAAAGTGAGGTCAGTGTCCTGACTGACTAGTGAGGTATTGTGTGTTTTAAAAATTCTTGAGGCACACAAGTTGAAAATCGCTGCACTAGGTGGTTGACATCAGTACTGTCACATACAGTTGACCCTTGAACAACAAGGGAGTTAGGGGTGCTGAACCTTACCTAGTCAAAAATCTATCACTTGACTCCCCAAAAACTTAACTACTAATAGCCTACTGATGACAGGAAGCCTTACTGATAACATAAACATTGATTAGTACATATTTTGCACATTAGAGGCATTATATACTGTATTTTTACTATAAAGTAAGCTAGAGAAAAGAAAATGTTATTAAGAAAGAGAAAATGCATTTACAATATTTTTTGAAAAATATCCGCATATAGGTGGACCCACCCAGTTCAAACCCATGTTGTTCAAGGGTCAACTATACATTGTGTCATTTGATCCTCACAGTAATGCTGTGGGGTTGAGGAGGTAGTTAGTATTATGTCTTATCTTATGTATTAGGATCCTGAATACATTTTACTTCCCCATTTGACTCATTGGTTTCAAAATGTTGCTGAACCCTCCCAACAACAATAGACAATGGAAACATGAGGATTCAGTCAAACTGGTTATTTGGCATCATATAGACCATTATTTCCCAACCCACAAGTGCATTGTGGCATTTGGTGACTGGGAAGACGCCCTGGGTGTGTATCATAGTCCAAGGTTTCCCCATTTCCCCGGGTTTCCTGTCTCTCATCTGTCTGACTTCTAACTATCACTGCAACCGTATCTCATTCTTCAGCCTGATGTCACATGCCGAAGATCAGAAGTTCCTAATCCATAGGAGTCCTCAGTCGCAGGTAAAATCAAGATTTATCACAACCAGGAGGCAGTTGGCTTGAAAATCAGGTTGTAAGGGCTGTTCAGTGAGGCTGCCTGCGTTCTTGTCGTAGTTCTTCTGTCACCTGTTGGCCCTGTGACCTTGGGCAGATCTTAAATTTCTTTCAGCCTTTGTTTTTTTCATTGATAAAATGAGGATAATAACAGGAGCTACCTCATGGAGTTTCTTTGAGGTTTAAATAACAAATGAGAAGTTTGGCACAGGCCAAACATTCAATAGATATTAGCTGTTATTTATTTCAAAAATGTTGTAAATTATATACCACTTACAGATATAAAACTGTCTTAACCGATAGCAAGTGTACGGAATGTTATTTAATTTCAAAAGTAAATTCTGAATTTCTAGAAGTCAGTCATTAATTTGTTATAGCCAAGGCTCTCTGCTATTCCTCTCTCACTCCTTACATTAAGCGATGAAAGAGCTTACACTGCGCTTAGTGTTCTATATGTCACTTAATCCTCTCTCTAACCCTGTAATCTTCCTTATAACCATGTAATGTTATTATCCTCACTCTACATCAAGGAAACCAAGAGACAAAGCCACTAAAAATAACTTGCCCAAGGTTAAGAATCTTGTGAAGTCCAGAGACTGGACTTCAATCTCATGCCGTTGGAGCTCTCATATAATGAGTGCTTACACTGAGATGACGTTGTCCTACTTTGAAAAGACATGATTTAAACAATGCCAAGAGGATAAACTGCACGTTTATTTAACGTTTGCCATTGGGTGTCCACAAGAGAAGTAGTCACACCAGTAGAAACTTACCGCCAGCTTGTTTGTGTGGTTGGAGCTTCAGTTCTTGTTCGCTTTGTGGAATGCTGAGCTAGACTATAGAGTACCTCCACTTTCAGCTTTTCCAGGGTGTGGAAATATGTCCTCTGAGTCTCTAGGTGTTCTGGAAAATCTCAGGTGAACAAAGACTTAAAATAATTGAAAATTTTTCATTAAAATAAGAGATAAAAATAAGTCTTCACACTAGACTAAATTCATTTTATTTTCAGAAGTGGGCTATTTCAAGGTAGTTTTTGTGTGAAAAAAATAGTTTAATAATGCTCAGAGTTAGGTCACTGTACTTGTTCTCTTCCACACTTTCTCAGCTTTCTCAGGACGTTAGTCACATTTTTATTAGGGTACTATTTTCATTTCATTAATCAACTCTGATGTATAAAATTAATCTGTAATTATTAAATGTTTTATATCAGGCATTCCAATGATGTGGCTGTTTTTAACAACAACCTGTTTGATTTGTGGAACTTTAAATGCTGATAAAATCTTTAATTTGGAAAGAGAAGCGAATCCTGAAACGTGGATGAATACTGTAAGTCATGGAAAATTCCAAAGAACACCAAATAAAGCAGATAATAGGTTATAAAATTATTAAAAGTCCTGTTAGAGCTGAAAATCTCTGATAAGAAAACAGATAAAACAGGCTATTTTTTAAAAATATTTTTATTGATTTCAGAGAGGAAGGGAGAGGGAGAGAGATAGAAACATCAATGATGAGAGCAAATCATTGATCTGCTGCCTCCTTCATGCCCCCTACTGGGGATCAAGCCTGCAATCCGGGCAAGTTCCCTTGACCAGAATCGAACCCAGGACCCTTCAGTCCACAGGCTGATGCTCTATCCACTGAGCCAAACCAGCTAGGGCTAAAACGGGTGATTTTTAATATTTCTCCAAAAGTCAAGCTAGGTTGGCCGGCTCTTTTGGCTGAATAAATAATACTTTCTAGTCATGCAAAGCAGAACTGTATTTTTACAGAAAACTTATATTTTTAATAATATTAACAACTTATATTTTAAGCCACCTGGATGATATTTATAACTGCTCTCTATTGGCTTGTGATCTTATTATCTTTAAACCAAGAAAGATCTCAAAGACAATTGACTTGAGAATATAGTTTGTCAAAAGAATGGGTCAATGCGAAATATTATCTCCCCCCACTAAAGAAATATCAATAATAGACATTTTCTAATATTCTACTTATTTTTTATCAATACTTTATTTAATAAATTAATTTTATAGTTACCTGGGGCTACAGATTACAGATAATTCACCCTGATAAGCTTGCAACAGATACTTTGTTCTAGTTTCTTTTGATAACCTTTCTAGAAAATGTTTAACTAATGCCTGTGTTTTCACTGGCCAGAGTGAAATCATCACCTATAATGGCTACCCCAATGAAGAGTATGAAGTTGTCACTCAAGATGGGTACATCCTCAGCGTCAACAGAATTCCTCACGGGCGAAGAGATACTAGGAGTGCAGGTACAAGTTGTGCCCTTCCTGATAAGGATTGGATAAAACTAAAATTTAGTGCTGGCTTTTCTTTAAGAGAGTGACTGATATATCAAACATTTTTTGAATTTTTGCATTAGTCTTTAAATGGTTAGCAGGGAGTCTCATTCTTTTCTAATTCTCAGAAGACTGCCAAGAACCTAAAAATAGCAAGGGCAAGACTCACCTTGTTGACAGCAACTAGGCTTGCTTGTTTGGGTGTAAAGGCAAAGGTGGAGCCTACGTTTTGTAAGCTCATTACTGATTTTCCAGGTGATGAACTTCTGTATTCCAAGAAAGTGGATTTCCTCACCGTTGGAAAGGGATTTGTTGGGTTGTATAAAGTTGGTTGTGGGGTGCCCCGAAAGAGTATGTCTGGCCCTCACTAGAATCAATAGACCATCCTCTTCATGATAAAAGTTTAACTTAATGATTGGCATTTCCGAAACTTCTTCCAGGAAAGAAAACTTTAACATTCACACATGCTCTGATCTAAGAGACAGATGGTTTGTGGAATGAAAGAGCATGGGGTTAATATGGCCTTGTTCTAGAATGAGGAGCCAGTCATGCACAAGCAGAGGGGAAACTAGAACTGCAAAACCTCTGAAGAGGGAGAGAGAAGAGCAAGCAAAATCTCTGCAAAGCCTCAGTGACCACTCTGCATCATCTCCCCCACCACCCACATTCAGAGGCAGCTTTAATCATGTTGTTTGACACTTTCTCCCCCTCAGAAAGAAATCTGTAATTCAAGAGTTTTTTAAAAGTGGGGGGAGTGTGATGTGAGTGGGATTACCTGACAAAACATGAGACACCTAGTTAAAGTTGAATTTCATAAACAACAAGCAGGCTTTCGTATATGTCTCACTTGAGTATATAGAACTCAGATGAAAAAGTTATTCATTGTTTTATTCAAATTTAATAGGGCCCCAGGTCTTTTTCTTTATCACTTTTGTTTGTTTGTTTGCTTTTGGCTAAATCTGGCAACCAAATCTTTTTCAGGGGTGGGGGAGCGGGGACTATGAAATACAAAAGGAGGAAACTTTTTTGCTTCAGGAGGAAGAATTTGGGAAGATTTGGAATTAAAAGTCATTTATCAGGAGTATCGTTCCTAGCAAACCTATGAGGTCAATACTATTAATCGTTACTAATACTATGAATCGTTACTTTACTGATGATGAAACTGAGGCAAGCAGGTTATGAAATAGACTTGAAGTCACACAAATAGCAAGTGACAGTACCAGGATCCAACCCCAGGCCACCTGACTCCGGAGCCTGTGCTCTTAACAATTAAATTATAATTTAACATTTTACCCGGGTCCTTCTCATCTCCCCCAATGAATACTCTATCCATTGGGAATTTGAGAGTTGGCAGAGGGGTGTTGAGCTGATTTTACTATTATAATTTCCAAATGTTCTTCCGTGGGTGGAGGCTGGGTGTTTGGTTAGAAGCTTGGTGAGAAATTAGTGATTGTCCATTTACACTCACCCCCTCTTCTTCCCTAAAGGAAGGACTGGAAGAGGCATAGGACTCCATTAAACATGATCGCTTCCATGTCGCTGTAAGCCACACCCAGAAGACATATAAATGTGAAATCATAGAGCACAGCAGTTACAAGCACATGCTTTGGCATGAAATAGAGCCCAGCTTGAGTCCTGACTCAGTACCTTGTTAGCTGGGTGACCCCTTGGGAAAGTTACTTAATTATCTTAAGTCTTAGTTTCCACACCTGTGCAATGAGGATCCTCAAAATAGTAACTAATTTATAGAGTTATTGTAAGAATTTAATAGGCTTGAGCATGTCAGCCAATGGCCATAACACCAGGTACACAGTATTTGCTCAAGAAATTTGCTTTGTGGTCATAAAGTTCTACACTAATGACAGGGAAAAGGTGAATGGTGTTTTTGGTTTTTGCTTTTTCTGGTATGGTGTGTGTGTGTGTGTTTGTGTGTGTGGTGTGCATACATGCGCACACACACACATTTCTATCATGTTCCTGAGATGCTCTATTTATCATAAACTATTTTCTCATTATCTACCTATCTCTGTTGTCTCTCTTTTCCTCCCTCGCTTCAGGTCCCCGGCCAGTTGTGTACATGCAGCATGCCCTGTTTATAGACAATTCTTCCTGGCTTAAGAATTATGCCAATGGAAGCCTTGGATTCATTCTCGCAGATGCAGGTTACGATGTCTGGATGGGGAACAGTCGGGGGAATGTTTGGTCAAGAAAACACAAAACACTGTCAGTGACTGAAGAAAAATACTGGGCCTTTAGGTAAACTGAGTCAAGTTTGAGACAATTTTGAATATAATAGTGTGAATGATATTAATAATAATCTATGACCTTTGAAGTCACAGTTCCTTGTAGTTCCTACTAACATCTCAAAAGTCAGAAATAGCAAGAAGCTTTGATTTTCACTGATTCTCCCATAGTCAAATTATATCATTTTAACAAGATTATTTTAACATCCAATTTTATCCAATGCTATACATTAAAAGTATGTCCCAAAGGACAGCACAGGAATTCTTATGACCAATGTATGCAGTCAATCCATATTTATTTAGTGCCTAATATATGCACTATTCTAGGCTCTGAGCATACAAAAGGGAACAATGTCCCTGCCCTCACAAATTTTCTATTCATTCTAGTGCTGCTAGTACAAGTCCTTTCTTTTGGACAGCCAATCAATTTCACAATGATGTCTATCAGTACTAAATTTTTTTTAGAGAAACTATGGTTGAATTTTGTAGAATACTATTTTTTGTTTTGTTTTTAAATATATTTTTATGAATTTCTGAAAGGAAGGGAGAGAGAGAGAGAGAGAGAGAGAGAGAGAGATCAATGATAAGGGAGAATCATTGATTAACTGCCTTCTGCTCTACCTTGACTAGGGATTGGGCCCACAACCCAGGCATGTGCCCTGACCACCTGGAATTGGACTGTGACCCCCAGGTTCATAGGTTGCCGTTCAACCACTGAGCCATGCAGGCCAGGCTAGAATACCATTTTAGAAAATTCTAATTTGAGATCTTTAAAACTTTGTTAATGGGCAATGGAGAAGAATCTTTTGATATGCTGAGTGTTTCTTTTAGTGAAAGTGTTTCTGGGGTCACCAGAGGACAAGCTGATGCCCACAGTAGGCTTTCCTTCACAGGCCTAAGTTCACTGTCATATGCAAAGTAATGAAATACTCAGAATCCACTGGCAGGTTGAGAAGAAAGGAAGGTTAGAATAAATTGTTAGAGTCAGAGCTTTCGAGCAGTGTGGTGAACACTGGGAAATATTTTGTGTCACTGGTCCTTGGCTGGGAGCTAGGATCTTGTTTACTGTAAGGTATCACAACTCCCATACTTGGGAGTATCAACCTAGATATTTCCTCACATGTTGTTTATTAAAACAGTCCTCTAAATCATGGGATACCTGACTCAGCTAAATGTTATGTACCAATTGTTCTCCTGTATCAATACTAGCTAAACTGGTACTGTAAGATTTTGGTATATGTTGAATATATGTTCCTTTATATAGATAGAAATGTTCATAACAGCAACAACTAATTGCAGCCAGAGTCATTTCTTTAATACTATCCAACCTTAATGACTTCCTTATAGCAGGTGCTATCAAAAGCTAGTACATGCGATCATGATTTACAACCAATTCTGTTTCCAAAGTGGGGCATTAAAATGGTCCTGAGAGTCTTAAGTTCCCTGGGGGAGTCTAAAGGAGTGGCATGCAAACTAGATTGGGGAACGGGGGAAGGGAAGTGAAGCAAACACAATGGAAGGAAGTGAAGAGGAGAAATAAGATTGAACTTCAGATACTATACACAAGTCTAGAAATCATTCCTGTTATTAGAAAGTAACCCATGTGAATGCAGTAAACGAAAGTTATAATAGCCTACATGTAACTGGATAAATAATGAAATATACACCAAGTAAGTGTAAAAAATGTGATCAAATGCTCCGAGTTTCAAACTTAGTTGGGAGTATTTATAAGACCCTGTTTTATTTTGCAGTTTTGATGAAATGGCCAAATATGATCTCCCGAGCATAATAGACTTCATTGTAAATAAAACTGGGCAGGAGAAGTTGTATTTTGTTGGACATTCACTTGGCACTACAATAGGTATGTTTACAAAGGTCAGTGTTTTACAAGGGTCAGAGTCTTGTAAGAGTTCACCTTTAAACTGGAACAGAGTTACTGCTATTAATAGTGTCCTTGATTCTCTGTCCTTTCTTAGCACATAATCCCAGTGCCCTAAGAGGCTATAAACCTGAATTTCAGAGACTGTACATCGGCCAAATATCTCCTTCATTTCTGACCATAACTACACATTTGTAATGGTGATGTAATTTCCCAGGATAACATGTACACCAAATCCACAGAAGTATCAAAGAATAAGTTTCTAGACTCCCTCTGAGCTGAAAATGTAAAGCCTAATGACATAAAATAATCCCTGAAGAATATAATCATACCTTCCTCACAACCCACATGGGATTTTTTAAAAATAAATAAAAGGAAGGAACTTACATTTATATTTGAACAAATTGAAAAGATATGATTATTTTTTTGAGTTGGAACATGAAAGTTTACTATAATAAATCAAGTGGAAATATCTATTTAGTGTATAATATAATATGGAATACCAATTAAATGTAAGAACTATGTAGAATTTTTTTAAAAGTCCAAAGGCTCTGCTCTTTTAAAACATACTTTTTAATGATTTCCTAGATCTTTTTTTTGAATGGGAGGATCAATAATCTAGTTCCAAATAAAAATGTAAAGGGATCTATACAGTTAAAAATGTGAATTTGCTAGTGATCTTCCACTGAAGTTTCCAATTTTAAGAGATCGAGCTACGTTAAAACTATTTAAGAATGGGTGAAACTGTGCAAGAGACAGTAAACATTCTTACAGTAGTCTCCATTATTATCAACAGAAAATATATATTTATCATTGCTTTATATTGATCAGCAGCTTAGAACAGGCAGTGAGCATCAGAGGGCATTCTATAAGGGTATCAAAGAACTAATAGGAGATTCCCCCCCCCCCCCAAAAAAAAAACTGCTACTAACAAGTAAATAATTATACTATCAAAGCTAACATTTAGTGAGCATTTACTGGGTTTAGGACCCTGTGTTTAGGAACTTTCCCAAAATATCTCTCTTTAAAACTTACTGTTATTATTTCTATCTCCCAGAAGAGGAAACATAAATTCAAAGAAATTAAGTGGATTGTTTGAGGTCTCTTAGCAAGTAAGAGGCAGAACCCAGGTTAAACCAGGTCAGTTAGACTTCATCCATAAGGTGCTTAGGCTTTGGATGGAGCAGGAATGACTTGAGTGGAGTCTAGAAAAGTGAGTAGGACTTTTACAAGATATGCTCTTATATGTGCTCTTCAAAGAAAACAGAAAATTTGATCATCAGTGATCTGCATCGCATTCAGGGCATAAAATTTTTTAGTGAGTATTATTTGCATATGGGGCAGAGCAATTTTTGTTTTGTGGGAAAAGCCCACTGTTTGCAAGACACTTAGCTACCAAGGCCCCAACTCATTCAGTGATAATAAGGCTCTGGAGTTAGTATGGGCAACAAAAAACCTACAGAAATCTTCTAGGGGGAAGCATTATGCCTGTTTCAGAGTTTTTGTATCAATTGATACAAAGTCAGCTTTTTTTTTTTTTTTTTTTGGCTAGGTCAGTTTCAATAAGAATTTGGGGCGGGGCGGCGGGGAGGTGGGGGTGGAAGCTTCTGCTATGGAAACACACACACACACACACACACACACAATGGAGTGGGGCCAAGAAGGCACCTTGGAGAACCAAAATACACAGAAACTCCTTGGAGCTTCTTCTATGTAGTGCTGATCTCACGCTCACAGGGCTAGCAATGGGTGCAATGCTATTACTTAAAGTTCAGAACAAATGGACACACCTGGTTCTTCCTGGGACCACAGTGGACCGAGGGAAATCCCCTTCTCTCTTGAAAGCAGGAAAAGAATTCTGGAGGGTTGGTAAGCATCTGGTGAAGCAGTGAGAGCAATGAAATCTCATTCCATTGTGAGAAAGGAAAACTGGAATCACTCGATGATACTGCAGAAAGGCCTTCTTCGTGAGTCACCTCCCAGGAACTGATTCTTTACTTCTGGAAGCTCTGGACTCATTCTAGCACCTCAGCGTTGGGGGCGAAATGACAATATTGCCAGCAATTCCTCCAGGCTTTGAAAGTGAGGTTGTCCGTAGTTCACTTGCCAGTAGCAGCTTATCCCTCACTTTCCCCAACCCAGTTACACTGTCCAGTATTTAAAAAAAAAAAAGAAGAAGACTTGAGAACAGAGAGGACTGAATGCAGATTCTCTTTGCAGAGACTCAGAAGAGTCTCCCAATTCATTCCCAAGATCATGGCAATAGATGGATAAAAATGACAAGAGTCCCTACTTTTCTTAATAGAGACATTGTGCAGTTCTCATTTTTACAAGAGTGTCTTGTCTCCTGTTCTCTCAGGGTTTGCAGCCTTTTCCACCATGCCTGAAGTGGCACAGAGAATCAAAATGAATTTTGCCTTGAGTCCTGTGGCCTCGTTCAAATACCCCAAGGGTATTTTTACCAGTTTTTTTCTACTTCCAAGTTCTGTAATCAAGGTAGGCTCCCCATTTCACCAAAATGTATTTGAGGGTCTCATTTTGGATTATAGATACTCATTATTTTAAAGTCTGTGATGAAGTAAAAGTAGGAAGTTTAGATGAAATCTGTGGAAACCAGAATCTGCAACCAGGTGCTTATTTGTGTGTGTGTCCGTGTGTGTGCGAGTCTGTACCACACTATCTACAGCTGTCATATACAAGTTACTACACTCAATCATTAACAGACTTGACTATATATCAGAACTGCTAGCTGTGCTGAGTGCTATGTCTGCTTAAAGTCCATTCATGTTTTCTTGTTCCATTCTTATTCCACTGGGCTGGTCAATGAACTTGCAATGTCCAAATGGAAGACAGTTTTCTAGTTTCGTATGGTCACTGATATCCTGACTTTGATGTTAAACATGAATAAAATAATCCTTCCCATATGGCAACTTGTTGTAATTTACTAAAACTATGATTATAAAGCCTAATTGTCTTACAACTCAATTATTTCTTTGAATATTTATTGGTTATTTTCCAAGGATTGGAAAAGCAGTTTGATTGCTAATTGTGGTTTTGGAATTTTATCAATTTAAATTATTTTTCTATTTGCCTTTTGTTTCTTTAAAAAGGTCATTGGCACAATGAACATAGTATTTTACCAAGATTGCACCTTAAATTTGGGGTAAAGGATAAAATCAATTTTGGCCAAAGTGAGGTCAAGACCAATTAGGGTATCACAGTAATTCATATATAAGAGGAGGCCCTGGTTCATGGTGGAGAAATAGATAGGGAAAACCATTGTTTGTTGAGCTAAGACAAGGAAGAATTTCCATAGGGCCTAATGATTGGTTTGATAATAGTTTGATTGTATTATCTACTTGAGCTCAAGTAATGTAACTTCCCTTTTGTGTGGTTGATAGTTCTACTGCAAAGTGTATTGATATCAGTGTTGGATGTTTCCTATATTTGAACAGATTGAGCAGACAAATTAGTTAAAATCAGAGAGACACCTCTATCACCAGTTTTACATATATATTGCTTTGCCTACAAAGATTGGGTCTGAGGCAAATATTGTCCCTGGCTTATCTGTTTCATATCCCCTACTGTCAAGGTTCCTGCCACTGTAGGTCGCATTCCCTGACCTCGCCTGGCACTTGATAATATCTGTTGCCCAGAGAAGCTCCAGTCCTCTCATCAGAGATTCCCCACCCAATCTTACTTTCCCAAGCTCTAACATGCCACCTCCCTTTCTGTCCAGTGGTACCCTCTCTTTGGTACACCATTCTCTACTTTTCAGCATAAGCACTAGCTAATCTGGGACACTCCTAGAAAAACAATGTGCACATGGGTAATAGGGAAAATCCTACTTTTCCTTCTTATTCAAGGCAATATTTAACCTTAAGGAGAAATATTCTGCCTTTCTTGCCAATGAATGAGATATTAAAGATGAAGTCAATTACTGGTTTCCAGACTACAATGACAGAATACAGAGAAGCTTCACCATGAAGAAGCGAATTTGAGGTTAAGGGTCCTCACTGCAATCTCCTTATAAATTACGTCTGGTGATCTTCCCTGGGTGCAGATGGATTCATAAGTGTCATAGTTCCTTTGCCTGAATGACTTGGTTTCCTTGACTGCAAGAGCAAATACAAATTGATCCTCAAGAATCCTTATTTCTGGGATGATGAGAATGTCAAAAAGTTTGAAACAATTCTTGAAAAGAATCATTTTTTTATTATTTTTACAGAAATTGTTTGGTACCAAAGGTGTCTTTTTAGCAGATAAGTCAGAGAAGCCACCTTTTGCCACAATGTGCAACAATAAAATATTATTGGTGCTATGTCGTGAAGTAATGGACTTATGGGCAGGATTCATCAGGAACAATCTGAATATGGTATGTATAAGGATTATGGGACCATTGGATGTTTTTTTGAGAAATTCCAGCTTTTATTTGATTTAGTTTGATGTGTCTATTACTCTGCATAAATTAATATGCTATTCTAAGCTCTTACATGGAGAGGTTTGCTTGCTATGCATAGATTAGGAATTCAATAGACTATGAATGTGAAGACTGGGAAAAAGAATAAATAGGCAGCTTCAACCTTCCATCCCTGATCAAGTTTAGGAAAATGAATGTTCCACAATAGGTAGTAGTTTCACATGTTCATAATCAGCCAGTAAGTACAACCGTGAGTTTGATCTTACAATATAGTGCATTAAAAATAAAATCCTAGAATAAAACTGAGAGTCGTAGACACAGACAGACAACAGCATGATGGTTACCAGAGGGAAGGGGGAAGGAGGGACAGCAAAGGGGGTCAAATATATGGTGACAGAAGATTATTTGACTTTGGGTGGTGGGCACACAATGCAACATACAGGTCATGTATCATAGAAATGTACATTTGAAACCTATTTGACCCTATTACTCAATGTCACTTCAATAAATTTAATAAAAATTTAAAAAATAAAATTATCAAAAAGATGTGAAGCACATATAAGCATTGAACTTATTTTGTGTGTGCCCTCACATGTTGGATGACTCTGGCCTCAAATAAAACTCATCAGTTAACTTAGAACTTAAAAGACAGAACAGAATGGAGAAGGAATCCCTTTTCTATGAAGAAGCAGCAGTCCTGTTTCATCAACGCTTTGTTTCCTGTTACTGAGAATTCAAGGAGGAGGAGGAGGAGTTGGCATCTGCAGAGGAGTGTGGTTGGATAGTTATCTCTGTCATATTCCAAATGGCAACCACATGAGACTAGTAAAGCTAGTCCCAAACGCTTGTCTATCAACCCACCCTACTCCTATTTGTTAAGAAGCTAAGCTGTGTTAGACCAAAAACCATGAGGATCAATTATTCAAAGCCTACTTATTCAATAGTAAAGATTTCTAATAGTTCCCTAGATTAGTTTTATGATATTCTCAGATATAAAATTATGATTACTATTGTATCTCTATAATGTCATCTCTATACTGTTTACAAAGATCAAAGTACAGTGCACATAGAAATGATTGTTTATTAGCTTTTCTTTTATAATATTTTATTTTATCTTCACAAGAGCCCACCAAATTGGTAGCATGATCTTCATTATCTTCATTTAATAGATGACAACACAGAAACTCAGAGATGTTAAATAACTTGCCCAAAATCACAAAGATTATAATTAACAGAGTTAGATCCTGAAGTTTAGGTATTTTTGATCTACTGATCTGCAATAGTGTGTCTAGGCACACTTGCACATTGCACCTTTCCTCCATGATGTCCATTCTTGCTTCTTTTACTTCAAAGTAAACAAATTATCTTATAGTTTCAGAGCTGATGCAGGTTTGATCTCAAGCAACCCATGCCACTGGTCAGCCCAGAGTTCATTCATGTTCAAGTGTCTGACAAAATTTCAGACTTATCTAGATGATTCACATAGATATTTTCAAAACCCCCAGTATTTGTTCACTAAGTTTTAGCTGAATTGTTTTCTGTTTTTGAAAGGCATAGTTTATTTCTGTGGGTGATTCTTGCTGTAACATGTGATTTATTTCCCTTCAGAGTCGAATGGACGTGTACATGTCACACTCTCCCACCGGATCGTCAATACAGAACATCCTCCATATAAAGCAGGTAGTGACTTTGTCAGGGAAAACCATTCTCATTCCTATTTTCATTATATGTGAAAGGACAGAGTTAACAGGCCTCCTCTAAGAACTTTACCAGCTGGCTTCCATTTTGTCCTTGTCACATCTTAAATGGTCTGATTTCCCTGGGTTTTAAGAGAAATGACAAAATATGGTGCAGAACAAGTAGGTAACAGAAATAATTCCCATCTTAAATCAGAGCTTGTAAGAGAGGCCCTGAGCTAAAGCAATAGGTAAGCTGGGAAAACCTCAGGAATCTGAGCCTTCCCCAGGGAGAGGAATATGACTTCTCCCTAATGAGTTTTGGTTTTCCATTAGCTTATCCTACAAACCACGGGAGATCACTTCTCTCTCTCTCTCTCTCTCTCTCTCTCTCTACCTTGTTTTTCACACTTTCTCTCTCTCTCCTCTCTCTCTTTCTCTCTCTCTCTACCTTGTTTTTCACAGTAAAAATGTATTTCCATCTTTTACTGGTCGGGAAGCCTTATTTTCTTTCTAGTGTACAGTGTTTTTCTAAGATTTGCTGTTAACATTAATGATTCTGAATATTATATTACTAAAAAAAACACATTTATTTCAGCTTTACCGATCTGATGAATTCAGAGCTTATGACTGGGGAAGTGAAGCTGAGAACATGCGTCACTACAATCAGGTGAGTTATTCAGAATGACTCCAGAAGGGTGGTTTTGAGACATTGTAAAAATAAGTTATTTGAGAGTGAGAAGAATCCTGCCTGGCAATTGGTGGTATTCACATGGATAGATAGAGCTTTTTGAAAATTTTGTGATTTTGATATGTATTCGTTGTGAAAAATCTAGGGGAAAAAAGAAGCATATGCTAAGGAAATTAAATAATTTATAATCCCTCCACCCAGAGATAACTAGACATATCAATATTTTGTTGCATTCATTCCAGTCTTCTCAGCATTACTGGTCTTACACAGCTTTTAGCATTTCTTTTAGTATGGTTATAGCAAGACATAACCAATGTTACTGAGGTGTTTTTTAACATAATCTTAATGGCTGCATAATAGTGAAAATTGTTTTACAAAAATCTACACAAATTTACAGAGTAAATGAATACACATTTCTTGATACTAACACCAAGAATTTGGATACAACATGAACATTAAAAAAGTATTACCCACCATGAAGACTTGTCTTAAGGCATCTTCCTCCTTCTAACGTTACACATCCAAATCTATAGATTCCTTTGGCCCTCCTGTGCTTTAACCAATGTTGTTGCCATCATTTCTTTTCTCAAAGTCAGGAGCTGGGCTTCTCTGTTTGAACTAAACCCATTAAATTAAAATTTTTCAATGTTTTCCAAGACTGACATATTTAAAGCTATTCTTAATGCAAACCCACATTAATTAGGCTGTTTCTGAGCATCAAAACGGTCAATCAGACCAGTTATTTCTCAATAATATATTGAATTGTTAGAGAAATGATTCTCCTAGCTTTTAAGACAACTATAAGAGCTCTGCATATTTTTATTATTTTTAACTGCTTGATTATGGAGTTGTTTACATACAATAAAATTCACTGATTTTACATGTGCAATTCAATGAACTTTGACAAATATATTCATTTGTGTAACCACAACACAATCAAGATACTATAGAACATTTCCATTACCCAAAAACTTTTCTCCTACCACTCAAACTATGTGTATTCACAAATGCTTAGAAAAGGGTCAGAAAAAAAACACCCACCTAACAAATGTTAAAGTTATTATCCTCAGAGAGGGGAGGAAAGAAAGGGTGAAGTAAATGGACATGATGGGGTAAAGGAGGCTCTATTTTGGATTTTACATACTTCTGCTGTCATCCATTATTTTTATTAAGCAGGTTATATATTGTTTACTTTTTAAATATCTATTTTTATTGATTTCAGAGAGGGAGGGAGAGAAAAAAACATCAGTTATGAAAGAGAATCATTGATTGGGTGCCTCTTGCATGCACCCCTCTGGGGATCAGACCTACAACCAGAGCATGTGCCCTGATCGGGAATCTAACCGTGACCTCCTGGTTTATAGGTTGATGCTCAACCACTGAGTCATGCCAGCTGGGTTATACTGTTTACTTTTAAAAGAAAATGGAACAAAATATATCACAGTTAAAACCATTATAATCAAGTTCTTTTTTTCAGCTTTATTAAGGTAAAATCAGCAAATGAAATTTTAAGATTGAAGTGTACAATGTGCTAAGTATGTGATAGTGTAAATGTCCTTAGAATTTATCCAGGCTGATCCTCTTTTATTTGTGTGTGATTTTAGATCATTTTGAAACAGGAATTTTAGGGGTAAATAAGACAGGTTTAGGAGATTTTAGAAATTTTGGAAGCACGGGGTTGCAGAGCAGCAGAAGGTATATTTCCATAGAATAGGAAAGCTGAAAAGCTGCAACCGGTATATTTCCATAGAATGAGGGAGCTGGGAACAGCAAAAGGTCTATATTTATAAAATAAAGAGAAGGAAGCCCTTCATCCAGAAGCAGAAGAAGAGAGCCCAGGGGGGAAGAGGAAAACAATAAGGAAGGAGGGAGGGAGAACCTCACATGTCCCATGTGAGGCTCAACCTTAGAGCCCAGGGGTTAGTATAGTAACCAGTCTAAGGGAATAGTGGCCAATCAGAGGGGATATCAAGGCATCAGGATCTGCAGCCTTTGTAAGCCATAGGGAAAAAGAACTCATTGGGACCCTTTCCCCCTCCCTACCTGGGAGTCCATTCTGTGGGACTCTTTCCCTCTCCCCATGTGGGAGTCTGTACTTGTTCTTCAATAAATCTCCACCTTTGCCAAATCACTTTCTGTCTGTGGATTCAATCTTCAATTCCGGCGGAATCCAGGTTCCAGTCCAAAAATTCCATTTCAATTTGAAGTCAATTTTTATTACATTCTAATTTTATCAGTTTGCCCTCTTCTTAAGCTTCCAGCACAATCTCTGTGCCTACTCTATATTTTTTCGGGAATAAGAGGATTAACCCATGCAAGCTCCATGAGGATAGGGATTACCTTCTCTTTTGTTCACCAATGTTTTCTCACCTAGCAGAGTACCTGGCGTTTACTGAGCCCTCGATATTTATTGGTTGCATGAATAAAATTTCTTAACCTCCCTCTTACCACCTGAAAATGTCTCTGTCCCCTTGATTCTAGCCTTCTTTTCTCTCTCAGAAAATGAAGATCCTCTTATTTTCCAAGTTCACCTGCATGTGCCCTTGACCCTCATTTCTTTTTATCCCTTCTTCACTCTTACTCCTTTTATTCTCTTCAATGAGCTCCTGTACCTCATGAAAAACAAACAGTTACTATAGTTTCCTTGCAACTTACTCCCCTAACTTGGACTTTGTAACGCAATGATCTCTGATTTTTTTCTTTCCCTTTTTGTTTGCTCTCTTTGTCCTCTACACTGGCTACTCTCTGTTTCCCACCACAGTCCAACTGTCAGCATTTCCCAAGATTCTTAACATCTCTACACTAGTATCTCTCTTCCTTGGAGAAGTTAGCCATCTCCATAACTTTAATTATCTCCTTCTGTGGACCATCCATATTGCTTGACTAGATTTTTTCAGGAACTATCCTTTCTTCAAGTCATTTCACAAACTCATGTTCATACAGGCCTCTTAAGACAGAGCTCTGAGAAATGAACCTGCTTTGTCCCCCAAACTTCTGAAACATGTCCAAATACCCTAGCCTGGCATTTAGACCTTGACTGTCTGTCTCCAATCTTATATCCTACAATATTCTTTCAAATGTTTTCTTCTCTGGGTATACACTGGACAGCTTGCCATTCTGACCATGGCATACAGGCTCTTCCTGCCTCCTAGGAAGCCCTCCCATCCTCCTTCCTATCTGTCAAATTCCAACCATCACTCAAGAGTCATCTCAAATGACTTCTTTGTATATGAAGCCTCCAACTGGAAATAACTTCTTCTTTGTCTTCACTTTGATTGTCTTTACAGAGTGTTTTATAGCATTTAACATACCTTATTTTGCATACAAATGTGTGTTTGGTTATCTTGCCTGTGTCTTCAAACTCCTGAAGATAAGAAGCATTGCATGTTTCCTTCCTATTTCCCTCAGTGCCTGACTGAACAATTGACTTGGTGGATATTGACTTGGTAGCCTCTCTACTTATTTGAATTCAGTTCTTTCTGTGAGGAGCTTCCTCTCATGAATGTCCTTTCTTTCTCCCCCATAGAGTCGTCCCCCACTGTATGACTTGACTGCCATGACAGTGCCTACTGCTATTTGGGTTGGTGGAAATGATGTCCTTGTAACAATCCAGGATGCGGCCAGGGTACTCCCCCAAATCAGGAATCTCCGTTACTTCCAGCTATTGCCAGATTGGAACCACGTTGATTTCATCTGGGGCCTTGATGCTCCTGAACGGATGTACAGTAAAATCCTAGATTTGATGAAGACATATTCCTAACTACAATACATCCACTTTTCCATTAAAGCTTGCTCTCAACGCCAGGAGGCTTTGGGAAAAAGAATAATCAGCAGTGAGGTCTACTCCAGTATCCTCCACCTTGTTGATGTTGCTGAATGTTTCCTTGTCAAGGAGTCTCAAGGAGAACATCCCCCAATCAATGGTATCCCACAGATTTTCCACTGGTGATTTGCATGCTTCATGAACAAGGAGGAAGATCTTTCTCCCTGTCTTGCTGATTCACCCACCTACAGAACCAAACAAGAGACAGAAAGGAAAATTCCTCAAGGCAAGCCTCATGTAGTGCTAAGCATGAAGCAGAATTATCCCTAAACATCCCCATTCTTGCCTAATTGTAAGTAGGTTGGTGTTCTCCCAAACTAGTCATTCACCTGTGCCATACCTGCATGCCACCTATGATACTGCTTTTACAAGTCTCAGACTCAATTTGCTTATTTATATTTTAAAAAACCTTTTTGGAGCTACTATAAATGGGAGGAAAAGGTATTATTTACCCCAACTTGAAGATAAACATAAACTGTCACAATGAAAAGCAAATCATTGATAATAAAATTTCTAGATGCCATGACTAGTCCAGGCCACTGAGTTTTAGAACTGCCTTCTTTTTGGTAAACGTGCCCTCTTGATTTGAAAGGGAGATTGGCAAGTGCTAGAAACAAAGACATAAACCCGAGTTTGGCTTCCTCCTTGCGCTCAGAAGATTGAAAGAAATTTGACAGTGAGTCTTTGGTAGGATGTATCATGGCCCCCAAAGATGTCCATGTCCTAATTCAAGAAACTAACCCTACCCCTTATATGACGAAAGAGATGTTGCAGATGTGACAAAGTTAAGGTAGTTAAGAAACTTGAGGTGAGAAGTTTATCCTGGGTTATCTGAGTGGGATCAAAGGACTTACAGGGGTCCCCATAAGAGGGAGGCAGGAAAGGCAAAGTCAGAAAATATGACAGTGAAACAACAAGAAGCTGGAGTGATGCACTGAGTCAAGGAATTCTGGCCGCCTCTGGAATCTGGAAAAGGGAAGGAAACAGATTCTCCCAGAAGTTTCCATAAGGAATGCAGCCCTGCGCCTTGATCTTAGATTTCTGATCTTCAGAACTGTAAGAGAATAAACTTACATGATTTTTAAGCCACTAAGTTTCTGGTAATTTGTTACAGCAGCCATAGCAAACTGATACAGGGACTAACTCTCATACTATGTGATTCAATGCTATTTAATACCATACTTGTGTATCGGCTAAAATATATCATAGCCCCTGTGGTACATAGCCTACACTTGGGGAAACACTGCCAAGAAACTCACAAGGTCATCATGGAAAATGGTGTACCATAGACTAACGCAACTGCAGAAGGATTTAGGCCTGAGGCAGTGAAGCTGGTTGCTAAGATGATGGTTGATTATAGGGGAAGCTCTGTGTGGCCAGTGTCCTGCTTCCTCCTCTACCTTGACTCCCTTTATACTGTGGCATCCGAGCTGAGACACCATTCCTGAATCAGCCCTCCTTCCTCAAATGGACTCTGTGCTGAGGTAGGTCACAGCTATGGTTCTTTCTGCTCTTAAATTCCAGTGCCTTTCCTTTAAATTAAAATGAGCTTGGGAATATTTTCTTACATTAAAAAAGATTTATTTTATTTTTGTTCCATTTAGAAAATAGAGAAACTAACAAAGAAAATGATGAGCAATATCATCACCACTAAAAGAAAACTACTTGGTTAATATTTTAATAGATTTCTCTCTGGTCCATTTCTGTTTATGTCGGTTTATAACTTTAAAATATTCAATAAACGCTATTTAGTAACCTTCATTTTCCCCATTAAAATATATTAGGAATACTGTTGCATTACCTACAACAAATGTCTACAATATATTTATAATGAGTGAATAGTGCTCTGTTGTAAGAATGAACTAGAATTTATCAAACCACTTCATTCACATGGTTGTTCATGTCATTTTCAATTTTTCACTCTGGTCCTTTTGTTCACCACAGATGGCTCCTAGGAATAAATTTCTGAATTTATATTTATTTTTTATACATATTGCCAAATTTTCCATCAGAGAGTTTACATTGAAAAAAAAGGACATTTTTAAAATATATATTTTATTGATTTTTTTACAGAGAGGAAGGGAGAGGGATAGAGAGTTAGAAACATCAATGAGAGAGAAACATCGATCAGCTATCTCCTGCACACCCCCTACTGGGGATGTGCCCGCAACCAAGGTACATGCCCTTGACCGGAATCGAACCTGGGACACTTCAGTCCGCAGGACGACGCTCCATCCACTTGAGCCAACCCAGTTAGGACTGAAAAAAAAAGGACATTTTTAAAGGGAATTAATTGCAAACTTGAGTGAATAAAAAATGAGAGAAATAAGTGGTAACTTTTTTTGGAAAAAAGCGAGAAGAATCTTTTTATTTCATATTTCATGTGATAAGCAAGAGAATATGCCTGCCTTCCCCTTGATTTGCTCATCTGTTGGAGAAAGAAGAGGCATAAAGAGATGGTCTGGAATCAGATTAACTTCTTAAAGGGGGGAAAAAGTAAGGAAATTTTTTTCTGAGGGGTATTTAGATGAATGTATCAACTCTTGTGGTGTCAACCTTTTCAGGCTGCAGAAAGCTGTAGCAAGTGAACATTCCTCATTATGGCCAAGTGTGAAAGGTCTGTTTCAGACTTTGCCTACTTCAGTAAAAGTCTCATGGTACACACTCGGTCAACGATAGATTTGATGGTTTAATCAATAAAGACCACCACATTGTGTAACCTAAGAAAATTTCTGCTTTGGTTGTCTACACAGCTTGTTAGGCAGAAAACTCCAAATAACTCACTTGCTAAGTGTTGTCATGGAAAAACCCATGACAGCCAGAGTGGCTGACTGAGCTTTGGGCTAGGCAGCTTTCACTAAACCTCACCTGCAAATTGGTAACTCCTAACAAGTGTAATCTGTTGCCAGAATCGCCTGCATACCTTACGAGTCTAACTAAATTATGAGGTAGAACATTTCCAGAGAATTCGCTTTATTTTCAGCCTTCTCCACTTCCAGCTTACAAACTGATGATAGCCGTAGTAATCAGCATGATGACAATACAGCAACAACATATTAGGTAGCTCCTGGGTGCCAGGCACGATGCTGTGCACCTCACACATATATTAGATTCACAACAATGTTGCAAGGAAGGTGTTGTTTATTAATAATAATAACAACATATAGGTAAGAAAAGGAAAAATCAGAAAAGTATCCAAGACCCCACAGCTGGTGAGAAGCATAGTTGGGATTTGAGCCCAGGTCTGTCAGATTCCTCTGTTCCCTATTGTCCCTTGTAGGTGGACTTGATGCTAGGTGTCACCTGTGACTTGAAGCTTTGTGGTATTTCCAGACTCCATAACTAAACCGGCACATCCTCATGCTTGCCCCTTTAATTGCCCCAGAATAATTTGTTAAAGAAACAATGACAGCTAGAGTCTTTTATGATCCTGAATAATTCCAGCTTTTATTAGTTAATATTACAGATTTGAAAGAATAGGGGGAAAAGTTTTTCTTCTATGTCTTTAAGGACATTGTTTATAAAGTTTCTGGATTTTTGTTGTTTTGATCTATTTTATTTGGTGTGTGTTAATATGAGTAATAAAAGGCTGCATGTTCCCTGTTGGAAAGATATACCAGGCTTATTGCAGACAATTGAATAAACAGTTCAGGGCAGAAAGCCTTGAGGAGGATCTTCTAGAAATAATCTATACTAATAAAAGGGTAATATGCTAATCAGACCAGACATATTCCAGACGACCTTCTGGACATCCTTCCTGACAAAGCCGGGCCCAGGCGCCTGCGGCCAGCACAGGAGAAGCCACCTGCGGTCCTGGGCACCTGCAGCCGGCCAGAGGAGAGAAGCCTGGGTCCTGGGTGCGGGGCCGAGGCAGAGGGGTTAGGGGCAATCAGTGATCAGGCAGGCAGGCAGGTAGGCGAGCAGTTAGGAGCCAGTAGTCCCTGATTGTGAGAGGGATGTACAACTGCCAGAGATCGGGCCTAAACCGCCAGTCAGACATCCCCCAAGGGGTCCCGGATTGGAGAGGGTGCAGGCTGGGCTGAGGGACCCCCCTCCTCCGTGCACAAATTTTGTGCACTGGGCCTCTAGTATGTCATATGTCAATATTAATGACAGCACTAGGTAGGTACCTGCTGCTATGTTCTGGAAATAAAGAGAATCCCAAAAACAAGAATGCATAGGAAGGGGAATCAAATTCTGAATACAGGACACTTGCCATTTAATTCTTTTAGAGGGGGACAGTGGTTATTGCTAAGATGTCCCTTGAATACTAATGAGGTGATAGAAAGGCCTCCCTCTTGAGTCTACATTTTCTTTCCATTCCACACTGCCCCTGTTTGCCTTAGCCCTCATCATGCTGAAACTGATCTTAAACATTTGGGCAAGTTGTTTCTTTCTTCTAGATCTGTTTTTATTTTTATTACCATTGACAGACCAGTTTATATTAGTTTCAGGTGTACAACATAGTCATTAGACATTTATATAACTTATGAAATGATCACCCAGATAAATATAGTGCCCATCTGACACCATACATAGTTATTAGAATACTAGAGGCCTGATGCATGAAATTCGTGCAAGGGGCTTGGCCCTCGCAGCCCCGGCTTCGTCTGGAAGGTCATCTGGGTGGTCGTTCTGTTGTTTGGTCTAATTAGCATATTAGCTCTTTATTATATAGGATTATTGACTGTATTCCCTATGCTGTACTTTATATCCCCATGACTATTCTGTGACTACCAATTTGTGATTCTCAATCCTTCCCCTTTTTCACCCATCCCCAAACCCCTCCCATCTAACAACCATAAAATTATTCTTTGTACTTACAGTTTGTTTCTCTTTTGTTTGTTCATTTATTTTCTTTTTTAGATTCACATGTAAGTGAAATCATATGTTGTTTGTCTTTCTCTGTCTGACTTATTTCACTCAGCATAATACCCTGTAGGTTCATGCATGTTGTAAATGGCAAGATTTCATTTTTTATGGCTAAATAATATTCCATTGTATACATACCACAGCTTTTTATCTAATCATCAAACAATGGACACTTAGGTTGCTTCCGTATCTTGGCCATTGCAAATAATGCTATAATGAACGTAGGGGTGCATAGGTCTTTTTGAATTAGTATTTTGCCTGTTTTATCTGTAAAATCAGCTTACCTGCCAGGTCTTTGTTAGCCTCAATATGCTATCCTCCGATAAATTTGATCACTTCCCAAAACAGAGTTGAAAAATCATGCACTTCTGCACCCTACTAGCCAGGGAAATTCCAGTCTCGCCACTTTCATGTCTTTGGTGACCCCTCCCATGGTTTAACTCCCCTCTCCCTTCATAAGGATTTTTGGTGCTTTATGCTGCTCTCTGACCCTAAACCCTAAATTGAATCCACCCTAGCCTTACTCTCCCCTTAAGTGCTCCAGGACTAAAGTAAACCCCAGCCATTTCACTAACATGTTCATTGAAATTTTCAAAATCTTAAAGGGTAACAGCATAAGTAGATATTTTCTAATTTTTTTAAGGGACCCAGATGTAATGTCAGAGGAAAGAGAGATTATAGAAACCATCTTGCCTAGTGATTTAAAGACATTTTTTAGAAGCAAAAAAATATTTGCCAAAATAAATTACACAAAGCTACAAAAAGATAAGATAAATCAGTAGTAGATGGCTAGTATGTATGTATCATATAACATCCAAATTTATAACCTTCACCCATTATAAAGTTACTTTAGTTATCCCCAGACTTAGAAATGATTATAAGCCATAGTACTCTGTTTGTATGTCTTGGCTTACACATTAGTGCTCTCTCTATATATTTTTGGCTCTAGGATATGATAAAATCTGCACAGAAAAGCAGTTGAAGTCATAATTGGTTTTGAACCATTTCAGTTCTGTTCAATTATACAGGATAGCAAAGGAAGTTTTACTCTAAGGTTCTAGCATGAGTTAATGGATATAGTCACTGATGTTGTGAAATTTGATGTATAACATTATACATTTGAGATTACATGTGAAACAAAGTTAGTTAAATAGGTAAAATTTCATTTGAAAACAAAATTTAATCCATACATTGGCAGATGCTTTGAAGTCCTTCTG